AAAGCTTCTTGATATACCACATCGGCTCTTATTCCTTCTTCTGACAAAATTCAATTTTCCTAGCATTTTAATTTTTATCTAAGCCTTTGATTTACAAAACAAAAATTACACAATCTAAATTAAAGCTTCTTGATATACCACATTGGCTCTTATTCCTTCTTCTGACAATATAAACAGGTTTTGAAGAAATCCAACATTATTGGTGAAACAACCAAAAGAGAATTTAGGAATTCAGATGGGTAAATTACAGCATCATCTATAACTGGAACACTGACAATTTATCTGTAAGTGAATTCTTGTCTGGGAACATTTTGCTATAATTGATCATTTGTGTCATGAACAGTATCATTTGAGGTGCAAGAATTGCTCTTTTACACAACTATTAATAATTTTGATAAATATTAGGGAACACCTTTTCCTTTAGCTTTTCTGCATCCTCAAGTAACTTATCACATTTGTTCGGAATAGCAATATAATTCTTTGATTGATTCAATGGAAAGTTTTCAACACTAACTTAATAAAAAGTTTCTGAATTAAACCGTTTGCTTTTAAAAACAGAGAAAATAAACCACAAAGTAATGTACATTACCTGTTCAACATAAATAACATTGTTGACTTAACAACAATATTGTGATAGTTTTGTTGCTAAGCGATGATGTTTAGTGTTGAGTATTACCAAAAGGAGTGTGACATGAAGAAAGAAATTGAATTAAAAGCCAAAAATTAGTTTCAGGTTACTAAATATATTTTTTTTGTGGGAAACCTGGTGGGAATTTAGCCCCAACATGTTAATTCTTGGGACTGCAGGAGTCACCATGCTAAGTTTGGTGGTGCTTAGTCAAACAGTGTACAAGGGGTTAGCAGATAGGCAAACATACAATTTTGCTTTTATATATATAGATTTAAAACTAAGCTCTACTCATTAGTACATTTAATGCTGTTGTAATTAATTACTTAATGTAAGACAGCAACCTTTACATGGAAAAACATGAAGATAATGCCCTCAGAACAGCCACTCTTATGATCCAGCATTTGGCTGAGATATGTTGACAACTCATTCATATTTTGGCCACACCTACTACCATCAAGACTACAGAAGTCATAAACCAAGTGAATAGACAATATCCAACGATACACACTTGAACCTCGATTAATGGGCACCTCAAAAGAATGGACCCACACTATTAAGGGCAGACCTTTTCAGTCTCTTTCTTTTTCTACTATTTGTTGCCAAAGTAAGTCTTGCAATAACAGGCACCTCAATATTCTTGATTAAGGGTAGTGTCTTTAGTCTCGTTCTCTACACAGTCACTCAATGAAGTGCGCATTTATCTTCATATTACCTGTATGGTATACCACTAAATTCGAAACATTCCAGAAGGAAGACCAATATTCAAACACTTGTGATGTTTATTGGATCGGCTTCGATAAACGTTTTCACAGATTCAAAGTGCAATCTTATTACACTGGGGAATTCTTGTTCTAAGTGCTGTAGGATAAATAATCTGATAAATTCCACATCATGTTCTCGAAGAAAGGAATAAGTCGGCTCATTTCTGTGCGTGTGCTTTGTTGCTCTCTAGAGTATCATATTACAATGTATTGTTCTAAGTGCTGTAGGATAAATAATTGATAAATTCCACATCATGTTCTCGGAGAAAGGAATAAGTCGGCTCATTTCTGTGCATGTGCTTTGTTGCTCTCTAGAGTATCATATTACAATGTCATGTAAACAATCCAAGGAAACAAGCAGTGATTTGTTGTTGTATTTTCAGCAGATTTTTACTTCATTTACAGTACAATAAATGTGAAATTTTGAGCAATTCAAACTCCAGAGAGAAGTACTTTGAAACTTTGTGACCGTAATAAATAAAAAAAAAAGGGCACAGTTAATCCATCCCCTGAGACCTCCCGTTGACAATGCTCTATGTCATGGCAACATGCAGCTCACGAACACCTGTGTTCTGCATACACCAAACAAAATCTGTGGGCCTTAAAATTCAGAAATTTAGTACGGTCAATATGGAATCCTGCTTTGTATGGCTCATTTTTGATATTAAGGGCATCTTTCTATAGAGAACATTTGGATGCAGTTGGAAAGATGCCCTTAATGTTGGTTCTACTGTATCTCACAGTGGAACAGAAGGAAGTTATCTTGTATTCGTAAGCATGATACTTACCAAGACAAGTAACTGATGTATAAGAGGAAACCCACAGCTTCTGATAAAGACCTAGATTATGAATTAAATCACTACAATGTAAAGATGGGTGTCATAGACTGCCTAATCTTCAGAGTTAACTAGACTTGCTAAGAAGAAGGGAGAATAAACATTACTACAACCTTGCTTGATAAGCAGGAAGAAAATTACAGACACACCTATATTTCCCTATGTCAAAGTGCCACTTTGAAAACATACTGAGGATATGTAATAGTCAGAAGAAAATAGGTTAGCATGCACACTAAACCACCTAAATACCCAACAGAAAGCTGAAGCACAATGTACAACATCCCTTATTAATATGGACTTAAATATGTTGGAGAAACAAAAAGACCAATAAATGTTAAAATTCAAGAGCATAATCAACATACAAAACTCTGTAATATCAATCTATCTGCAATAACCCATCATGCCAGAAAAAAAGACCTACAGTAAAATAGTATAACAGGAGAGTAATGGAATGTGAACCACACATGACAGAAAGATAAAATAAACATTCTACTACACTCTGTTATCCTGTTATTAAAAGCGACCCAAATATTTATATAGTTAGTGAATTTGTAATGGCCTCGGTTGAGTGTACAGCACAACAAATCCTGGCCCTATACCACCAACCACAGAACTTCTGAGTACTTCCATGAAGTCTGTAGCAAGTTAGCAGCCAACATATAGAACATATAATTAATTGGTATCTAGTAGTAAGAAAAACAAGGGCTGATGGATGAGTTCTAAAGTATGTGCAAAATGTTCAAGCAGGAAATTTTATGCAAAGAGTAAATCAGAATCTTTATTCACAATTTTTTTATATTTTACTTATTTGCTGGATTACAACGTTACTCCGACTTACTAACTGCTGAGATTGAGAGCAATCTGAAATGTTCACTGAGGACAAAGACAGCAGATTTTATTTATTGCTGAAAATTCAGACAAATATTTAAAGTGAGATATACCAGAATCCAATACTGCATACATTGTGAACTTTTCCACACAACTTTTATTGGAAAAAATTAATTCATATCTGTTTGTACAAGTATCTGAAACAACCCTTGAAATTGGCTCACCCCTTCTTCCGGGGGATCAGACGCAGGGATAAAGTGATATGAATTTCCGGCTCTTTGCATATGCAACTTTATCTGAGTAAAAGGATTAATACATTTTTACAGTCCTCTGACATCCATTTAACAAGAATGCCATACTGCATGGAGAACAAAGGTATGAAAATATAGAAAAATTTAGTTGGATATATCTAAACAAAGATATATTCTAAACTAGTTGTGGAATAACTAAATTAATGATTATTTCTGTAATTACAAGTGTATACACTACAAACCATGACAGTGCCTATTTTTAGGTATTTAGGAGACTGGTATAGTTTCTGGAGTGGAAAAGAATCTTAGTAGTAATATATAAATATTGAATATACTTTTAAAAAGTATGCATCTGAAAAACAAATATTGTTACCAAAATCAAATAACTTTGTTAGAACAGATTATTTCGTATTTTTTGAATAAATCATCAAATTAATATATTTAATCCTTTTTTAAATCCTACTACCAAACAGTAACAAAGTTAATTTTCTCAGGATTAGGTGTTTATCACTGGATAATCTTCGAACTTGTTGTGTGAAAGGCTACAGCTATGATGATTGAAAAATCTGATTTTTTGTTTACAAAAGACTTGTTGAGTGAAAGCTTGCCAGATTTTGAAAAGATACATTAAGTACTTTTGTAGTTGTAATATTTACATCTTCATGGTGGTTACAAGATCATATTAAAATACATGAGCCTGTGTCCATAGGGTTAAACCAAAGTAGTTAGTAAATTCTTATAAAGATCTTTCTGTGAATATATGGTGTCAGATTGTTGACTGCTCCAGGTACAAGGTGATTTTCATGTTAAGATTAAAAATACTTCATCTGAAAATTTTCAAATGTCATTATCGTAACTTCTAAAACCTCTTAAATAAATATCAAATGTTTTTCTTTTTGTAAAACTTGGTATCTTGTATATTACTTTCTCTACCTTAACTCCATATGCACTTGATTTATTTGAGTGATCTTGTAACCAGCATAAAAAAACTATGAAATAAATTGAAATTACCCTTTTTTTCTCTTTTGAATAATTGGAGATTGTAACAAAAACTGCAATTGTTTATACCAAGTAGCTTAAGGCTCTTAACAGTTTACATCAGTTTATACTGAATTGTATTGTTTTATTGCCCTTTGAACTGTATTTAGCTAATAATCCCACCACACAAGCTGTAAATAACCTGGCAAATGTGTAGCTCACATTACCATATTGAATCGTGTAATGCATGAGCTGCTCGTGAGCATACCCTATGAAGAATTTTTATTATCATCTTTCATTGTCTAACTTTATCTAATGTAATAAGTTTCTATTTTTGAAAGCTTAGTTACTTTTATAACAATAAATAAAGGTTATACATGGAAAACAAAAAGTATAGTACTTATCTTTGACATTTTTGCTGTCAGTTGCTGATGAAACTTAAGCCTACTTTTTTATAGTGGTAGTACCATTGCATCAAATTTTTATTTTCTTAAACAATGCACCTGAAAATACAGAATATTAACATTCACAATGTAAATAATGTTCTATAACTATTATAATTTAACTGGCTTTCTAACTAGGACAAGGGGGGGCTTAAAAAAACTCCGTTTGCTGCTCGATTTGAACACTGCAAGATAAACTTTAAAACTGAAGAAGAAATTGACAATACTCTGTACTGAAAACAACATAGCATTATACATCATTTGATAGATTGAAATTTGCCTTTATATTGGTTAAAAATAGCGTATTATAAAATATCAGGGAGAAAGCTATTGGCAATTGGTGAAAGAGAGGATGCGACATGTTGATGTGGCAAGTGGGTTTGATTTTCTAGTTTATGATTCCATAAACAAATAAGATTGAAGGCTACAAAAATTAGATTTTCTCTTCATAATATCTATATTATAATGAGTAATTTACTTTAAGTTCTGTACATCAGAGAAGTGTGGTAAATAAATTAGAAAATAGGGAAGACCTAGAGAACAAATGTCGTAATTCTCATACTAGGGGAAGTTGAGAATTAAAAAAAAAATATTTTCTTATAAAAGTAAGAACTTAAAACTTGTATGATATTAAAACTTTATTTATTAACTACATTTAGATGTCAAGTTTATTCATATACATTGTTAATAAAGTAGTTTGATTAAATTTTGATCATAACTCTGCAAAAGTTGGGATGTGCACTTTGACCTACCTGTTGCAAGATGGTTAAGTAGAGCTTATATACTTGTCCAAATATGTCAGATCTAGGTTCTTAGCTTGTGTTAATCCTTGTCATCTCATAACCACTCAGTCTTATCATCCACAGTAAATATTTGTCTCTCGTATCCAAACTTGCAGAGACCTGTTCGACAGTGAGCAAACATTTTATAGCTTGAAATTTGGGTCATCATTAACATTCAGATTGAGTAAAGAATGTCCTTTTTCATTTTTCCCACCAGCTGATTTATGAAATAATACTGTCAATACATTATACACCAGATTTTTACATAAAAGCTAGTTACATAAAATGACAGTACAATGCACTTAATAATTCTATCCTGTAATTCATTGTATTTCTGTACCTCTTGATTAAGTCTGGTTGTGTGTGTTATTTACATACATGTTTACTCTCAATCTTATACATTATAGCATATTGTTTTAGGACTATTCTACCTTTGGTTAACACCAATGTGCCTTTTCTTAAAACTTTGAGAAGTTCATGTTCATGATGTTTGATGTACCTTGCCCGTTTGACAACTTATGAATTTTGGATAATTTGTGTAAAAGTGTTGTATAGAAATACTATGTATTCATCTGTTTTACGCAGTTATTACAAGTTGTTTAATTTGAACACAAAAAATTGGAACAGCATCAAACTACTCACTGATGAACATTTTTGGTTTTGCAGGTTTTCTCTCCTCGTGGCACTGTGTTCAAACATTAAAAACTTGAGTTTTAAGATGCCTTGACCATGATACCAATATTTTTGTTGTTCTTTGAAATTCATTTTATGTCAGTTTTTTAAAGTGTTTGTAAATATCCTTAGGCTCTACATTACTTACTGTTGATATCTGAAGTTGAAGAGGTTGAGATCTTTAAAATCTGTCTGGAGTACTGGAATTCTCTAGCAGCTGATTTGTACAGAGAAAATCCCTTTAGTGGAGTTGGTACATCACCTGTTATCCTTCCTCGTGGACCTGGTGCTCTTGTGCCTCCAAGAAGACAGCTGTACCAACCTGTGCTAACTAAAGTCAGTTTCTTGTTTTATAACTAACAGTAGCTAGTTTAACACTTATTTCCTAGATAAAGGTATTGCCAACAAGTAACTTCTACAATTGCTAATACAGTTCCTTTAATTTTCTTAAAATCATGAAACACTTGAAGCTCTTACATAATTCACACAAAGTTTGTTAAATATGTTAATTCACACATAGTTTGATAAAGTTGTGTGGTAAATTTAATGCTTCAATCATTTGGCCATGCTTGTTTCTTCGGTGACTCTAGAATAAAAACTATTTTAGTAATATGATCTGCAAAGTTTATCTCAGTGCCACTTCACAGAATTTCTCTCCAGAATCACAAGGAGTCATAACATTAAAGGTTAATAGTTATCAATTTGGGTATTCTCCAGAGGTATGCTGCATTAGCTAATTTCATACTGAAATTTCACATGCAATAAAGATGTTTTAGAGTTACATCAGTAATACAGTAAAACAAGTTCTTTTAATATATGTATATGTTTAAACATATTTCCATCTGAAATTGTATTCTATTTTTTGTAGTTGAGATACATCATGATTGGGAGAATGGCAAAACCAGAAGAGGTGCTAGTTGTGGAGAATGAGCAGGGGGAGGTAGTGAGAGAGTTTATGAAAGATACAGACTCTATACAGCTTTACAAAAATATGAGGGAAACTCTAGGTATGTTCTTGACATGGTAATTTATAGGCCTGTTTATATAGTAAATAAACTGCTTTTACTGGTTTGATTCCAAGTTTACTTTAAAAAGTATAAAGTAACCTTTATTTGGTAGTGTAGCTCATTTGTTGGTTTATGTGTACTTTTTTCAGTATTCGTTTTATTAGTTATTAGCTGACATAACCACTCTCTAGGGGGCTTAAAAAGCTATGTACAAAGTTTAATTGAAATTTTTCAACAACTGTAGATGTGAAAGGCAGGCACATTGATCGACAGTTCTCTCATGTAGAGTGACATGGGGGTCAGACTTATCGTTGACCCCATGACACTTTCTGGAAAACCCTAAGGGTGCATGCCTGGATTGGTTGAGACCAGTTTAAGGCGACTGGCATGAAAGGCAGACACATAAAGAGACAATAACTCTGGGGGATATGAGGTGTTAGATTCAAGCACTGATCTCCATCGGGACCCTAAGAGTGCATGTGAAGTTTTGCAAGATTGGTCAAAAAGTTAACACATTCTTAACACTCAAAAATTTAATAATAATGAAACTGAATGTTTTTCCTAGTTCTTATTCATTGTTGGTCCTGTCAATGTCTTTAGTGTCCTTTATTTATAGGTTCATTACCTTCATTTAGTGCATGTTTTTTAATACTTGGAAATGATGTAGGTTTTGAATTAGCATGTTTTTTTTTTGTTTGTGTGCAGACTGTTAACCACCTGGTGATAGAACCAGTATAACCTAAAAGCATTGGTTCATTTATATTCATATATCACATTCGAAGTTTTGAAGATAGGTATATGATTTTTATATCTCAGAAATACCATAATCTGCATTCAGGCTTAAAACGTACATCAACTTCACTTAAGGTAACTGGTTTCCAATCATAATAGCCTTCTTTCCAGCGTATGGGAGAACAGTTACGTGGAGCAAAGAAAGACAGGTGTTTAAATAATTTTAACTTGATTCATAATGACTAGTGGAAAGGTATTTTTTGTCAGAATTCTTTAACTTCATATATTCTTATCTCTCTATAAAAAAAAATTCATATTTGGTTTTTAATTCTTATGTGCAATGAACCAATATTTTACCAGATTTTTCTTAAAAGACAATGTTATGTGACAATCAAATTTAAATATAACCCTGTCAAAGTCCTCTAATGGAAAATTTCACATTCAAATTTACCACGTTTTTATGAGTAAAGAGGTCTGTTAAAGTAAGTTGGGGGTTTGTTGATATCCAACAGTGAATTTAATATTAGGTTGTGTACTATTAAAATAGTTAACCTTTTCTAGCCTGGACATTCTGGGTTGCACTTGAGAAAATGAGTGACATCAAATTTTGAAAAATTATTCGCGATGTATCCCCACAAGTTTTTTCAAATATAATTATAATTGAAATACTGAGATTTTAAACTTTCTTTAGATTAAATTTTATTAATATATGAGTTGTATGAAATAATTTAAAAAAATCGAAACTTTAATCGTAATTGTCAACCATCAGCTTCCTTTTGGAATTTTTATTCAGGTCGTGTAAATAAATAAATTTCTCACCTGTACAGAGACAATTTGTCAAAAGATGAAACAAGATCAAGATACATAGATTTAGAACATTTAGCCGTACATTAATTTTTGGCATATCTTTGTTTGGAATGAAATAGGTAAACAAACAAAAACAGTGGTGTGAAAAATCTTAACTAAATGTTGAATGCATCTCTTCTTATTGGATAGTTATTTTGTGTAATCAACAACATATTATATAGTATAACAACGAAACAAAGATGTCGATGAATCATGAGCAAGAGAATTTGTGTAACCTATAGGCCAGATGTTTAATTAACATAGCTTGTAGGCTAGTAGTTATGGGCATTCTGTGTAATGGCACAGTATATGATTATTATGTAGTAATTTTGATTTCATCATAAATCTTAAATTTACCAAACATATCATAAAATGTCCCATGGTTATTGTTATGCTTGATTGAAAAGTTTTGTCTGTTAAGATTTGAAGACTTTTATAAATTATTCATTTTTATTAATGAAAATTCAAAGTTGGCATGATACCTTAAAGAGGCAGCAAAGGGGTTAAAAAATTTAACATTTTCAGTTTTTTGATAATATAGACATCATCGACTTCTATAGTATAATGGCTTAAACTGTGCAGGACATTCTTCTAGCCAAGAGTTTTCACAGTGACATAAGAACAAATTAGCAAGAGATGGATCTATTCTAGATCCCATACCAGCACCATTAAGTTGGTTATAAATATCATTGTTAAAAATGAAATGGGATTCTTTGATGCGAAAACTCATAAATTTCTGAAACATTTGTTTTGAAAATCTCATATTATTATTGTCATTTTTGTAGAGAAGTTTAGTGTATAAATTTATTATCTCTTCTAGTGATATTTTGGTTTGATATAAAGGTACTATCAAAGCTAGTACAATAAACGCCATTCATGAAATTAAAATTTTTTTCTTACCTTGAAGTTTCACAACATTTTTAATAAAAGATTCAAACAACTTAGTGAGGAACCCAGCTAGTTCATGATTATATGTGCCTATGCTAGACACTTTCTGTACAATGGACATCCATGATGAGTAAACTGGAATGGATGGCAACTGTCTGTAAAAACACAAGTGTAGAGCACCTGAAGACAAAAGATGGAAGACTTTCGAAACGTTATCCTCAACACTTGTGTTTTTTACAACAGGCAGTTGCTGTCCATTTCAATTTACTCATCATGAATACTCTGCCTAAACAATCTATCAAAGGACATCCACATTTGTGGATTTTAGGAATTCTGGACATAATATGTGAATGAAAACCAACTGGTTTTATTTTATAAAATTCATTATCTGTCAATAGATAAACCTCTTTTTTAAATTTTAATAAGTATATTTGTAATTTACCTTCTGTAGTTTTAAATGGATCTTTATCTAATTTCACAAATTTAACACTGTCATTTAAGATTTCTTTAACTTTATTAATATATCCAGTTTTATTTAAAATAACCACTATTTCTTTTATCAGGTTTTATAATAAATATATCTTCATTAGTACTTAACTTTTTTATGGCTAAAAATTCCTTCTTGCTTATATTCATAGGTTTTTTTTTTTCAGTGTTATAATCATTAAAAAATGTTAAAGCAATGTCACTTACCTGAGTTCTTATGTTATATAAAGATTCATTGCTTTCCCTCTGTATAGTTTGTTTATACAATTGCAGCAGTTAATGCCCAATCCTCAATAGATAATCCCAAGGGTAAGCAAAATATGGCCTGCGGGCCAGATGCGGTCCTTCTAACATTCCTGTTCTGCCCATCGTGACTCCTGACCATTGTGGAACAAACATAATGGGGTCTTTATACAACTGATGTTGAGGTAATTTAATTAATATAGTAGAAATGTTTGGCTGCATTGACTTACAAAAATTTGTGAAGTGGGCCCCTCCTGTGAAAATTATTGCCCATCCTTGGATAATCCTCATATTTAAGACTATTTGGTGGAATGGCAAATATGAAGCTGTGGGCCAGGACCAGTTTTCTGTGTTACTTAAGCCATAATTAGGGAAGTTATTTTACTTTTTTTAAATACCAATAGAGTGAAACAGTTATTGCTATTAATGATTACAGTAGCAATTGACTTATGTTTTGGAAGACTTGTAATAAATCTAATTACCAAAATAATTACACACCATGTGTTAAACCCATAACTTTGCAACTAGTAACAATATTTATGTACTCTTAAATTTGGGGTAGCTGGGACAACCTCACTTGCTTTGTTGGCCTTTCCTGGCCCAGTTGTTTTTATTTAAGGATAAGAATAAATAAAAGAGAAAAATTCTGAATTACCTCAGTACACCAAATTCACTTAACTGCTGCTTCATGTTACCTACCTCATTTAACACTTCATAATAAACCAAAAAAACCTACTTATCCTTTAATGTATAAGTCATCATACGTGTTTTGACAATTTTCAGTCCTGTTTGGTTTCCATTCTCTGAACTTATAATTTGATCCTTCTGTTGTTAACTCTTAGAACTGATTGTTGATTCTTTCTCCTTAAATGAAATTTCTGAAAAATGTTGAATGTTTCTTGTATTTTGAAATTTTGATTGAAAATGGAAAATATGTCGCTGTTTAGACTGGTAATAGATATGACGATCCTCATAGAAACATCTCCCTAATGAATTTTCTCAGCCAAACTGATTAAATGAGTTGGTTAAACATCAAATATTAGGTCGTCAAGAAATTAATGTTGCGTTTTTTAGGTGAAAAAACCCGACAAACTTATATCTCAAAACAGACATTTATTAAATGAAATAGTCTCCATTCTTATTAGTAATGCATTTCCATCTTACAATCAGGTTGTTAATGCCATGATTAAAGAAATCACTTGGTTTTGAAGCCAAAAACATGTCAATGTCCTCTTTAACACCTTCCATATTTGCATACGTTTTCCCATTGAGAAGGTGTTGCAGCAAACGAAAAAGATGGTAATCTGATGGTGCCATATCTGGAGAATATGGTGGGTGGGGGAGAACTTCCCAATCCAACTCCATAATTTTATGTTGCATCAAACGTGCCACATGTGGACGTGAATTATCATGGAGAAGAAGAACACCTTTCCAATTGACAAGTGAAGGGTATTTCTGATGAAGGGCTTGAAGTGATTTTTGTGTAGGACTGGGCCATTGTTTTTGGCATTTAATATTTGCATAGAGAATCCATTTTTCATCATCGATGACAATTCTGTACAAAAATTGTTCACACGCATTATGTGCCAGAAGAGACGAAGCAATGTTCACGCGATGGAAATGATTATCATCGGAGAGTTCGTGGGGCATTTAAACACCTTTGTGGAGTTTTCCCATATTCCTTAGATGTTTATGTATTGTTTCATGAGAGACATGCAATTTCAGGGCCATTTCATGAGTGTGTTGCCTTGGGTTAGACTCAACAAGTGTCTTCAGAGCATCAATATCAATTCCAACATGTCGGCCCCTACCATCACAGTTTATAAGGCTAAAGTCGCCTGAACGAAATTTGCTGAACCATCATTGACACTTATGAATGTTCGAAACATTTCCATAAACTTCTTTGATATTCTTTGTGGCTACAGAGGTGTTGTTTCCATTCTTGTATTCAAACAGCATTATATGCCAAATGTGTGTCATCACTATAAGGGATTAGAGTATACTAAATTTTACACATTATATAGGCTACACTAACGTGGTGTTTAGGCGATTCGTTTAACTATTATACGTGATGAAAGTTTTTTGGGAGGTTGTTAATGAAAGTGTTCCTAAACGTGACATTAATTTCTTGAAGACCTAATAACTTAAATGATTTATCTGGTATTTTCACATTAGACTATTCAATGTACACCACCATGAAAAACAGTAACATGAACAACTAAACCGGTCTTTTACTTGCAGTTCCATTTTTTTTTTTTTTCTGTTTAGCTATCTCCTTCATGCATCAGCCAGATATTTGCATGCCACTAGCATTGATGTTTGTTGACACCATCAGTGTGGTGCAGGTAACCCCTGCCAATTGTGTCCTCCTCCTCCAGCCAGAGTCTGTTCAGTAGGGTTGAGGTGAGCTCACACTATACAAATCCAAACTGCATATCTATGGTGCCCTCCTCTTGTACAGTCTGATAGGAAAGTTGAGGCAAGCACACATTATATGAAGCCATATTGTATCACTTATGTGCCCTCCTTCTGCAGCTGGAGTCTGGTGGTAGAGTTGAGGTGTACATATGCACTGTACTAATCCTTTCTACATAACTGATGTGACCTCTTCCTGCAATTGAAGTCTGTCCCATAGTGGTGAGGTGAGCACACAAGGTACAGTCTGAATGCATCCCAACCACACTGCACATATTGACTATCTGACCACTTGTGTGGAAGTGCTCAAATGGCCATATTCTCATTTTTCCCAAGCTTGCAATGCACAAAGCTTGTTTGCCTCTTCTACCTGTCTTTTTTGGATGAAGAGTATAATACTGGTCAAGACTAATTCAGTCTCCCTGGGTGTGCTTCTATGGAGCCCCTGCCATCAGGTGTCACACTCCATTGGCTTCCTTTGGGAGCTTTTTGAAGGGAGCTCATCTAGGTAGAATTTGCACCAGCCCCTCCACCTCTTCAATGTGGAGTTCTAGCTAAACTGTGTGTGTTATTGCAGAAGTTAACATTTTTCTCACCTTAAAATGTATTTTAGATAGATAGTCACTTCCACACACATCCCCCCCTCCCATTTCCAATGCACCTTTATTTTCCTTGACTCATAAAAGAATGAAGTAACCATGAGTGCAAGTGTATAGGGGGGGTCTCACCTTCTTATTGGTGGAGAGCTTTTTTTTTTTATGCATGATGATGTCATGGTGCAATTAGGTGGAAGTTGCCTCAAAGCCAGTAGTATGTAAATCTATCTCTCTGGCAGGCATACAAAAAAGACAGTAAACAATGTGCGGTGGTGAGTATCTATCAAAAATATATTTTCAGGTGAGGAACATTTTAACATCTGATGCAGTATTGATTTGAGTGGGACATGCATGACTTTAGACCATTAAAAAGTCTCTATATCTGTATTGTTATATTCTTGTTACATTTAATGGTTTTTGTAGTATAGTTTTCATGTCTTACAGTTTACCTGACACATTTGGATTATGGCGACACTGAACGGATCATGACAGAAAAACTTCGGAATCAAGTTAATGGAACAGAGTGGTCCTGGAAGAACTTAAATACGGTATGTTTGTAAAATCATTGTTTCAAAATTCCTGAAATTTATAGCATATACTATAATAATTTTTTTTAAATATCTCCTAGTAATAAAAGAAATTTAAATTATTAACAACACGAATAGTAGTTAGACACAGTTCAAAGGGCAATAAAACAATCAAATTTAAGTATAAATAGTTGTATACTGTTACGAGCTTAAAGCTACTTAGGCGAAACAAATGTTTCATGTTACAACTTGAAGTAATTCTATAAAGAAAAAAAAGTAATTTAGATATATTTAATTTTTTTTTCTTTGGTGGTTACCAGGTCGCTCAAATTGACCAACCTTTGATAGAGTTAAAATAACAGATAAAATATATAGTTTTACAGAAAATATACATTTGAATTGTTTTTAGGAGGTGTTAAAAATTATGCAAATGATATTTGAGATTTTTGGGATGAAGAAAAGTATTTTTTTTAATCTTAACATGAAAATCACTTTGCGCTCGGACTAGTAATGAAACAGAATGGATACATTCACAAACAAATCTTTAGTAAAAATGCTTCATTAAAAAATTTGATTTTTTTAAAGAATTTTTTTAAGATACACATAATGTGTTAAAGTTATAGTATAAATACTTGACGAGTGCGAATGTGTATATGAACTCAGTATTTTAGACTGAGCCCGTTGCAAAAGGGTTAACCCTTTTATTACAGGTGGGTGGATTCCACTCGGCCCATATCCCCCAAAGCAATCGTAAAGCAGTCATACTCTAACTTTTTAAAATGTACATGTATCTTCACAAAATTTTGCATATTATCAGTAAACATTACAAGGCATTTGTACACAAAATTTTAGATTTTTAAATTAATTATTTGCTAGTGCATTTTTTCTTTTTGAATATTGAGTATCCAACATGCAAAGAAATTTATATTTTAAGATTAAAAATACTTTTATTGATCAGAAAATTGCCAAATTTCACATGCAACATCTCTATTTTATCTGTTGTTATCACTATCATATATCTGTATGGGTTTGGTCGGTTTGATTGACCTCTTAAGCACCATAAAAAAAATTAGAAAATAGACATAAGTTATGCCTATTTTATTCTAGGATGACTTCAGTTTTTAACACGATACCACAAATGTTTAATCTGAATAGCTTAAATCTCTTAACATTATACATATATATATATATATTTATTATTTTATTGACCTTTCAGCAGTGTCTGACTAACGATACAAAAAGTTGCAATGATGCGGCACACGTGTACTCATGTTACCATATCCATTAATATAAAACTGGCCTTTACAAAGCAACCTATCTTGGCTTTGTTCTCATGGAACAGTATTTTGTAAAATACAGCTACATTTTAGTTATAGTACATTATATATGTACATACATTATAGCTATTTACAAATAAGTTCTTAAATTTCAGTTATTTTTCTTAAAACATAGAACAGTAAATAGAGTATAGAAAACAATGAGCTCTTCTACTTATGCAATTTTTACTCGTTTACTGCTTGCAGTAATTTACTAAACCTTGTCAAGTTTTGCACGTGGAGGATGTAAAACAAAATAATTTTTTTAGGTTTTCATATATGCATTATGAAATAACAAAAAATCATAAACGACTATATCAGTATCACAGAATTCCACTATAATTTATCAGGCTTAGTGACTAAGCTGTATTTGGGCCTAAAAAATATGATTTCCCACGTTACTGCTTGGAATCTAGCATGAAAAGAAAGGGTTCCCTGCATAAACTCTTCACAGAGGCTGAGAAAACCATGTTTGGGACATTCTGTGCTTTCGCTTGGTTATACACGCATCATTAGGCGAAGTAGGTGTATACATAAGCAAGTATTTTCAAAAATGGAAGAGGTGAGTGGGGGCCACCTTGGTTGATTCACTAAGTATAATAACATTTGAGAAAATAGAAAAGATAAGACCCTCTTGTTTTATATTCTAGCTTGTCAATATCAGTAATCGTGTTTTTAATTCAAAGAAACTATAGACTTAGTATTTTGACTTCATAAACACCTAATTTGAACAAGTGCTGCATTCAACATACCACGTGACACACAAAAATTTATATTTAACTAATGTATAATACTAAAATTTGAATTATAATCTACAATTTCATACCAAACTTATTGACATAT